GTTTTCGTGCTACATTAATATCGAAAAAGTGTGCCTTTTTTCATGTGTTTAATAATATTCAAAAACGTATGTGTTTAACTTTGAGAAAATTAGAAAACGTATGTGTACTAGACTAAATATTGGTCATAGGAAAAAACGTTAGAATGCTACAATGGTTGAATGCCAAAATATCCACACAAAAAAAATGATGTTATAATGCCAAGATAGTGAAGTAAATTGGCATATGTTTTTTTTGTCATATAAATTGGCATATATAGTACGTAAAGTCGTAAACCAATTGACCCATATATCCAATATATGGGAGTATGGGACCACTAGCTCTAATTTTACACCACGGGCAATACACAATCTATGATCCCATTGTACATGAGAGGAGGTATCTACGAGTTAGCTAGGTACAAATTTCATTTCTTGGATTGGAATGAAAGAAATGATTGTATATAAAGTATTGTTGACCAAACCTATATCAATGATATAAAGTTTTGATAGCAACCCCTGCAGTCTATAGTTTACGTGCCAAAATTATTGTCTTGGCTTCTGATCAAGTACCATAAACAATGATGACGCTTTTACAAAATGCAAAGAACAATGGTGAACAAAGAGAGAATAATGAATAAGTGATAGAGATCGATTGAAATATTGATAAAGATCGACGGAACTATACTTTAAAACTCAATATATATTTGTATCACAATTTATCTTTGGATCTAGCATGTTTGAGTTTCGTTGAATTGTTGAATTATCCGCCTAATTTTAGAGGTGAATAGGTTATTTTGGTAATACGTTTTCCGCAAATCTATCACGTATAAAATAGTCGGACCAAAATATATATTGACAAATATCTTACACAAAATGTTTACACATAGTAGGATCGAACCCAAAATATTATAGTTTTTTTTTTTTTTAGAAACTAAAATGTTATGGTTAATATATTTTTATCTTAAAGTTGAGACCACCGTACCACACGTCGTCACAAACAATGACTTCTTTTTTCCACGATCTTTTTATTACAAATTATCTTCCATATATATATTAAGCTAAGTAATATCACAAATACATGTTATCTTTTTTTATTATTATTACAAATTGTAGTGCACGCACTCAAACTCAAGAATCAATATCTTGTGACGAGAGTTTAGATTCACGGTTAAGTAGAAGTGGAACATAATGTCGTGTGGGAGACGTATAAGAATCCAGCCGCTCGTTATGTATATTATGACGAAGATTTAATTGAACCTAAAGTACTTTTATACTAACTTGGACCAAAAAGGGGATTCAAAGTCCAAACAAATCATTACAGAGATCATTGAAAACTTGTCGGATAAAATCTATCTCAGATTTTCTTTTAAGATTTGGAGGTTTTCCTTTGGATTAATATTAGTTGTCATATCTGACGTCAAATAAGTTTGTGGGCTGTCTGAACCTGATAACTCATTGCAACATTCTGTTTGCAAATTCAGATAATATCTTATAAAAACATTGGTTCAATATTCTCTATTTTGGTTACTCAAAATGCAATGTTTGTCATCATGCTTAATTGCAAATTTTTAATAACTGCCTCGAAATCAGACATAAATTCACAGCAAAGTGGCAATTCGTGTTATTCATACGCT